TTCAAGTAGCAATTAAGTGATTTTTTGGAGATACTTAAAGGTTTCAATAAACTTTCTGATGTTAATAATGAAAACTAATATCAAACATCTAACGAATTGTTACTTAGTACAATTAACCACTTACAATAAGATATTGTTGTAACAAATATAAATTAAATTAAACCTAAAAGCTATATATAATTATAATGTTACGATAAAGACCTCGGAAAAAAATTAGTTTAGCTATTCAAAGGGGAACGCTGCCAGTATCTTCGGAACCTTGCCTAAAGGGACTCCTTTTAATAATTTATTTAAGTTATTATTACTAGTTTGTATTTTATAATGTTAAACTCATATCACACCTTTATAACAAAAACGAAGATTATTTCAGTGAATACATGGCTTAGCCTACTGAAATAAAGTCCAATGGTTGACGGTATCGTCATAGCGCACCGTCCGCCACGTGAGTTCAACACGTGAATGCATTATGCGTAGCTTTATCTATTGTGCATTTCCGCGACCATGCAAATGCACTAGGTACCTACTCTACAATTAATAGGTATGCATGGAGCCGTTTAAATGGTAACATGACACTGGCATCCTTTTGCGCGGTCAACATTTTCACCGTTTTTGTACAGACTCTAAAGACAAAGAGGGCATTGTTCGCTCTTTCAAATATCGAAATAGTTTGTCTGGGTACATCTTACTTTCTTCGTAGTTGGGTGAATAAATCTTTAGTCACATCATATGTTTTCTATTCTAACGTGGCTTTGATAAATGATTTTTCTGTCCTTTGAAACCTTGCAACGCTTGGAACGTTTAATTTGATTCCATATATCTAGATGACGCATCATGTTGTACTTAATGGCATTGTTATAGATTTATAAAATCGTTTATAGAAACACAAAGTTTGTTTTGCAATTATGGGAATATTATTAATATTCTAAACATTTTCATGCATATGCCGTTTAAAGTGTTTTAATAAATATTTATTTCAAATGAAAAATAGCTACTCGCGAAACGAAGGACATTAGTTCGTTCACACAAATCCAACTCGCAGCCCTTATTTAAAATGATCATAGATTAGTAAAAATAAGCTGATCTGAAATACAGGCATATGCCTACATCGGACACCAGCTCATTACCACTGTGAAATAAAAGTCCCTTGTTATATTTATCTATCATCTATGATGTGAGAAGAAATATATATAAAAAGAAGAGAATTATCATTAAAAGAAAGCGTTCAAATGCCACAACCCACAATCTATAATATTTTCATGCAATTCTATTTAACCAATTTACAGAAAACCATAACAATATAAATGACTCACAAAACGTCATGAGTGCAGTTACAATTTCACGAAAAATAGTTCAGTACCCCTAGCACGAACCATTATCGAATTCGTATCGTTTGCGAGTCCGAAATGTCATTTTCAAATGTGTACTGATGTACTTGATGTTTAGTTCTCGTTAGGTACTTTGTGCCGCTGCTGTTCTAGTTTCCATACAAATTTGACATTGACATTTCGGTTTGCAAACTATTCGAATTCGATAATGGTTCGTGCTAGGGGTACTGTATATAAATCTCAATTAACTTGGACAAATACCACATCAGTTATTGTAGTCAATCTCTTTAAAAATTAGTTCAGAATTAATGCCGAAACTGACAAAATTATGTGACAACAAAAATACTGTCCTAAGTTATAGTTATGAATCTCAAATTTGGCGCAAACATAAGAAATCAAAAGTACCTAATGCAAAAAACTAGCCAAATTGAAATACCTTCACTATATTAGCATTCATCAGCGAATCATTGCCAAAAAAAACTCTTTTTTTAACCTTACCTTCATCATATTTGTTTCTTAGGTTTTCACGCACATCACTCATTAAATAAAACTAGTTTTTACGGGTTAATGCAAACGCTCAATAAAAGTCTTTCGAAGGTAGCTCGACAAATTAAATAAATGTTTTATTCTGACGACGACTGTAAAGACTACGAAACGTCAATAAATAAATAAAGTTTTCGTGCATTAACCCGTAAAAACTAGTTTTACTTACCTTCATCATTTTGTATGATGAAGATAAACGAGCGCAAATAACAAGTCTGTTACAAAACTTAAGTGAAAAAATGTATAACCGGAGTCCAGGTTTTTGATCCCGTCTCTCCTGTCGACCTTTGGAACCGGTTCCCATTGTACGAAACCTTTCACTGCGGTTAAATTTCTCAAAATCTGACAAAGAAAAAGGCTACTTGATATTGTTATAAATGTGTTTACATTTCTCCTCAACATTAAAGTCTATAAAATTGTGGAAATTATTATTTTAATATCTATCCCTTTTTATCTATTCATTAATTTAAGTTCATTCAATTTTTACGAAACTTCATTAAATAGGTACCTTTTAAATCATTGCTTTTTGCATTGTTTTTTTATTGAAATAACAATAATTTTTGTGACATATCTTTTTCATCGTTTTTTCTCTGACATAATAAGAAAATGAATTCGGCACGCGATACCGATGTTGTTTTGGTTTAGACACGGCTTCAAGGCGTTACTATTCTAATATATAAAAATTATATTTTTTACAACTATATTATCTTTAGTTTATTCAGATTTTGTGAATATTCTGTGTTTATTGATTCTGACAATATTAAATTGTAGATATAATTTCACTGGTACTCTATTCTATCTCTCAGCTTTATTACTTACTTCCTAGTGGCCCGCCCTCGCTTCGCTTCGGTGTAGAGCTGTAGTGTAAACTATAGTTTTTGTTCTCAGGCTTGTGCTATAAAGAATGACTTTATTTATATAATTACACGTGTTATTGTGAGTCAACCATAAAAGATAGACATATGCTATTGCGGGATATTTTTTAGACAATTTTATGTAGAATATTTCCGTCATACATGATTTCTATGTAACTTTAACCATTAAGGCTGCACCCGCGACGGAAGCTTAAAAAATGGAGTAACTTCTCCCGTTTTCCCAACATTTCCCTTCACTACTCTGCTGCTATTGATTGTAGCGTGATGAAAAGTATACTATAACCTGCCCAGGAGTATGAAGAATAATTGTACCAAGTTTCGTTAAAATCCGTTGAGTAGTTTTTGTTTCTATAAGGAACATACACACAGACAGACAGACAGACAGACAAAAATTTTACTGATTGCATTTTTGGCATCAGTATCGATCACTAATGACCCCCTGATAGTTATTTTAAAAATATATTTCATGTACAGAATTGACATCTCTACAGATTTATTATAAGTATAGAAGATTGTTTCAGTCAGCTCAACATACTACCTATACCGTAACCTTTCCTTTCTGTTTTCCCCTATTCTTTTTCCAAATCCTAGGTCCTTGTACTTGCACAAAGCCCTTCCACAGCATAAGTAGAGTTAAAAACAATAAACAAGCCCTCACCAAACAAAACTAGACAAGAAATTTTGGACACAAACACCAGATATTGGCCAAATCCTGAGGGAGCCATCACTGAAGAAATCTACTCTCATGTAAGTATTAAATTAATATCATCATACCATCTCAGTTGTTAAGCCTGCTAAAATAAAACGTTTGGAAAGTTACCTATTTTCTCGTATTGAAAATAAAATTGTTATAATATTACAATAAACAATTCATAGAAGATCTATTAATAACAATATGCAAGTTATTATTATCGATTAATGAAACGAAACCAATCGTGCCAAATGATAAACGGTGCCAAAACTAATCACAATTTTGGCGCCCAGAGATCAGGGTGACATCATTTTTTTAAGTGACAACGGCACATGTATTAAAGGTTCACTTTGCATTTAGGGAAATTAAGCTAAGTATAAAAACATTGTTATTATTCAAACAACATATCGCCCTATTCAAGGTAAAGACGCGAAAATGCTTTATGTAGGTACTGTAACGCCCGTTGCACTACGGCCTCCTTGCTTGTGTGAACTCTTTACTTACATATGTCATGCCTACGGCTGGCAGTTCTATTAAAAGCAAAGAACTTATATTATACTAACTGGAATGCTTACGCGACCCTCAAAATCGTTCTAAGAGCATAGCTGAATTGGTGGAATCTGTCTCGTTCTAGTAGTGTGTCCAAACAGTTGCAAGAGAGCGACAGATTCCACTTTCGTCGTTGTCGCGCTAGGAGTATTTAATAACAATTAAAGAACACTAAACAAAATCTAATTTAAAGAACTTAATCTGGCATGATTCTCTGAACCTAAACTTGAATTTGACAACAGTGCATCCTTATCATTTCATATGTATGTAGGTATATGTTTGAAAAAAAGAAACGGATGTTAAATTTAGTTTTAAGTTTGGAGAATCATCCCAAAATCGATACCATTAAAACGATAAATTAGACCAAATTTTTGGCGAAATAACATAATTTATTGGTTTGAAAATTGTACTAAGTATATCATTTTACTTATTTATTTGTCTTTACGTATAATTTTGTTTCATAATATTGGTAATTAACAAGATAAATCGTGTTTTATTAGGCTGATAAAGATTTAATTGAGACCTAAATGTAAATAAAGTGAACATAAGAACACTGTAACTGTAAGTAATGTAAGATAAGATTTTAGTAGATAACATCCCAAGAAAACTTTAAAGATATATCTTTACACTTTTCTTGCGCAGGCTCGATTTAAAATAATATTAGACTTTGGTTGCTCGCTATGTAAACAATAATAAAAAATTTAACCGTGAAACTTTCGTAGCGTTACTACATTAAACAAAATAAAAAAACCGCGCGTGATACGTTTGTTGTATAATTTTCAAGGTCGCCTGGTGTTGCCGTGCCATGGAAGTTTTTTTTATGAAGTTCCTATGCGAATTGAGTCATTGTTTGTAAGCCGAATTTATTATACCGGTCCTCGAAGTAATAAGTAGATGCTCAAAATTATAGCACATTTTAATCTTGTTAGATAAATTGATCTACTTTATTTTATAGCAAAAAATAAACAAAGAACTAAATTCCTACTTCGTCATACTCTACGTAATAAAAAAAGTTACCTTTTCTCCTTCCAAATGGTCCACAGAAGGAGTTGCCTTTCCCGATGACACTCTCGTCGATATGTTTGATGAGTCTCGCCACATCCTCTCTTCTCTGCTGGGAGTCACTCCCCCATCTCGTGGGCAAATCTTCTTGCATGGATTCGGATTTTCCTTTAGTACCTCTGGACTTTTTCAGAACACTGGTCATAATCGTCACATTACACAATTTCAGTAGCGCTAACCTCGTAAACCACTATTTTATCTTGCTCAATATTTGTTATGAAATCACTCAAAAACGCGAAATGTCTAAGGAAGACGTGTTTACGTACGCGATTGTACCGCCCGGCAACGAACGAGTACCTGTATGTGAACACTGTACAGCACACTGAGTGTGCGAGGTCGCGATACGCAAGTGCCAGTCGCCCGCAGAGACGCCGCGCACCGCGCCTGTCCCTCTACGCAGACAGCCCGCAGCTTGGTGTTGCCAGCGCTGAAAATAGTAGAATACTTTCTACTATTTACTTTTACCAAAAAAATGGTACATTTTGTGATTTATTCATACAAGTATTCTTTATATTCATATGGATTACTTTATTTGAATGATTTATTTTCTTCAATATTTTCATATCTATGATGTAATTTTTAAATTGAAAACAATAAATAAATAACGTAAGAAAATAAAAGTTATCTTCTTTTTCGTACATATTTTATCCAAAGAAGTTCTATCAATATAAACGTAGGAAAAAAGATTTTATATTGCACATGTACCGTTCCTTTTGTCAATATAAAAAAGTTTCTGTATTCACAAAAAATACAACATGTTTATAACAAATTTTATGAAACTATGTAATACGAATGTCTTATAAATTCTACATCAAACTAAAGAAAATATTGAATAAGTACCAAATTATATAGTTTAATTAATATAGGTATGCGATAACCATATAACATAATACATACTGCGTGGTATGCATACTGCTAGGCACACAAAAATTGTACATCTACTTGTATAAACAAAATAGTAAATAAATAATTATTTCCAACACTGACACCAGCCTAAAAGTAAGCACTATAAGGCTTGTGTTATGGGATGCTAGAGTAACGGATAGAATACATATACTGTACATACATAAGTATATTTATATAGAAAGACATATTAAACGTCCATGACTGGAGCACAAATGCTCGTATTCATCACACAAACATCTGCCGCCACCGGGATTCTAACCCGGGCCTCTCGAGTCGGTGACACCATGAAACCACTACAACCACTCGGCCACGGAGGTCGTTGTTATGTTAATCATGGACCCTAGGATTTCCCTAAAGAGATTGAAACTGCAAATGGAAATGGTTACACTGTGTCATGCATTGCCATGGTAACTGTTCTTTCCTATATGTTGTTTGATTTGTGTAGAGCGTGCGTATGTCGCATTTACAGCGAATATTTTTTACAACAATTCATAAAGTGTACCCACCAAATATTTTTTTAAATTATATTTGCTGATTTAGAAACGTATCAAAAATGTTGAAACTTCAAATTGCCAATGACCAGGATCGCAAGGAAGCACAGAACAGGGAAAGAAGGAGGCAATGCGAGCTGGAGCGGAGGTCCAGGATCTTCAACGCACGGAATAGGAAAATTGGTGTATGTTGATTTAAAGCACTAAATACAAATCCATATTAATCTCAGACATATTTAGTACGTTACCCGCGATTATGCAGAGTCGGCGAGAAAGAAGCGTCATTTCAGTGAGCCAATTGCCTAAAGGGATCGCTATGACCATCGCTATCGCTTACGATTTCATTTTGTTATTTCTGACCACCAAAGGTTTTCGAATGCCTCGCGTTCTTTTTATTTCTGTTGCATTGATAATAACAATACTAAAGAAAACGAGCGTGAGGTATTTAAAACCTTCGGTGGTCAGAAATAACGAAATGAAATCGTAAGTGATCGCGAGCCATAGCCATTCCGTTAGGCGTTTTACCCCCTGTTCTGTCATTCACGCGCATATTGACGACACGTTTACAGTTGCATTGGATATAATAAAGCTACTATTTTTTATAATATTTTTGAGGATCCGTGAAAAAGGGTAAAACGGGACCCTATTACTAATACTCCGCTGTCCGTCTGCCTGTCTGCCAGTCACCAAACTGTATCTCATGAACTAGCATGATAGCAGCATGAGGCATTGCATTGCATCGTGGTTTCATGAAACCACACCAATTCCTTCGAAACTTGATAGAAGTACTAAACACTTGAACCAAAATAAGTAAATGCGTTGTTGTAGTGTGATCTAGTTAAGTCCGAATTTGGCACGAACAAAGCTCAGGCAAAAGCTTGTTATTTTATACTTAAAGCTTTCTGTTATATACGTAGCTGTACTCACAAAACATCCGATCTTGTTCTGTGTACTTCTAAAACTAAGGTTTTTTTTGAGTTATAGCATTTTAAAACTATGTATATTATTGAATTACCTATATTCACTTTAACATAAGTTGGTGCCTACGTTAAATAATTAAATATCAAATAAACACAATAAATAAGCTTGCCTTCATGTATGAAATCGTAACCACAACTGTACCACATTACAAGCTTCCAGATCTGAAAAAAAAATATAAATTTTGCTTCTGTATGATATTGTACCAACTGCAACTGGTTTTTCACGACTGCTGCTCACGACTGCTCGGAGCTGCTACTCCGTGGAAAATACTAATAATACTTTAGCTTATATCTCGATTCCATATCCCCATAACAGTGGCGACAGCGACGCAACATTTGTCACAAAAATTTGATGATGGCTGCTTTTATAGGCCACGGCTCTGGCTGTATTAAATCGAAACAGGTCGAAACTCATACCAAAAGGAAGAGAACACATAAAAAAGAGGGAAAATAAATTACGGGCGATTTGAGGTCGGGAAGGGTGACCTTTTGAGAAATCTTCAATATATCGACAAAGCATTACCAGAAGGCTTGATAAATAGTTAAACAAGTCTTTCAAGAATATCGGAAATATTCACAAAATTGCTGGTTTAGAAAACCCGTCTATGATTTCCTGCTGTTGAAAGACATAAAACCACTAATGCTGTTTTCTAGCTAGAGGCAGGGCACTAACGCATTGGTGTTGGTTTAGAAAACCCGTCTATGATTTCCTGCTGTTGAAAGACATAGAACCACTAATACTGTGTTCTAGCTAGAGGCAGGGCATTAACGCATTGGTGTTGGTTTAGAAAACCCGTCTATGATTTCCTGCTGTTGAAAGACATAGAACCACTAATGCTGTGTTCTAGCTAGAGGCAGGGCACCAACGCATTGGTGTTGGTTTAGAAAACCCGTCTATGATTTCCTGCTGTTGAAAGACATAGAACCACTAATGCTGTGTTCTAGCTAGAGGCAGGGCACTAACGCATTGGTGTTGGTTTAGAAAACCCGTCTATGATTTCCTGCTGTTGAAAGACATATAACCACTAATGCTGTGTTCTAGCTAGAGGCAGGGCACTAACGCATTGATGTTCGGCTTCCTTAAAGCTTATATGCATATACATATATATTCTAATATATAAAATTCTCGTGTCGCGGTGTTTGTGGTTGAACTCCTCCGAAACGGCTTTCTCGATTCTCATGAAATTTTGTGTGCATATTGGGTAGGTCTGAGAATCGGACAACATCTATTTTTCATCCCCCTAAATGTTAAGGGTAATCCACCCCTAAATTTGTTTTTTTCAATTTTAGATATATATTTTTTTATGATACACCATACAAAAATACATACAACCCTAAAGTTTCACCTTTCTACCACCAACCCCTTTTTTTTTATGGCGGTACGGAGTTCGCTAGGACAGCTAGTATATATATATATATGTTTCCTCAAAAGGTCACCCTTCCCGGCCTCAAATCGCACGTAAGTTATACTAAATTACGTGCTTTGCTAATTTAATGCTAATTTGGGGCGTGACAGAATTTATATATATATATATATTGGTATTTAGTTTAGTTTAGTTTTTCCGGGCGGTTTCCGCACTTAGTTCTAATTATTATTCGTCTATTGTGCGTGGCTCGAAGCATTCCCGTTTACTCCAGTCCAGAAGGAAAGCAGCCTTGGTAGACTGCTGCAAGCTTCCGGAAGCGATTCTGGCGACTGGAGAAGTCCTGTCCGTTGGTCGGCCACACTCCTGCATTCCATGACAACATGCTGTGGCGTTTCTTCTGCCTCCATGCATCCTCTGCATAGGGGACTGTCTGTTACTTCTATTGTATATAGGTGTTTGTTTAGGGGACAATGACCAGTCAGGGTTCCTATAATTTTACGAAGTTTGTCCCTATTTAGTCTGGTAAGAGTGCGGGTAAAATATATATTGGTATATGCTCTAAGTCGGCTACCTATAGCAAAGGACGACTCTGATAAAGTTCATGTTTGAACTAAAAACAGAAGCTCGATATTAGATACGGTTCGTATATAGTATTGTACTATATTGGTCATCTGTAGAATAAGAAGAGTTTTAGTTTAAATTTAGAGGAATAAGAAAATATTTAGGTTTAAAATTATATTTTTAGGATTAAAGTTACATAATCATCATCAGCGTATTCATGTCCCCACTACTGTGGCACAGGCCTTCCCTACGGATGGAATAGGGAGATCATGATCCACCACGCGGACCCAGTGCGTATCGGTGGGTGCTAACGACCGCAGATGCAGCCGGGACCAACGGTTTAACGTGCCTTCCGAAGCACGGAGGAGCTCGAGATAGTAATTTTTGGTCACCCATCCTAAGACCGACCACTGCGAAATTTGTTCAACTTCAACGATCGCAGCCGAACGCGTTAAACACTTGCGCCATCGAGCTCCACGATCTTTAAAGGTAATTCATATAAGTGAAATAATTATCCGTGATTTTGTAGTGTCATTTGACTGTAGTACATAAATTTATGTAACAAAAAACAAAATAGACGAATAAACTATTTAGTCATTTTCCGACCTACGTCATTACGAGATGGGATAAATAAAGATATAGTCATTATGCAGTGTATAGTCAATTAAAGATCTAGACGAAATGATACTGTACGGGACGCCGGGCTGTCGCAGTAGCGGACAGTTACCGACTCGTACTGAGGGGGTGGAGGAAGTTACACGCAGGAGTCTTGACTGTAGTGGACTGTAGTTTCGGCGAATAAAACCCCTGGTGTTCGGTATTGAAGAAATCGGTGGGCGCTGATAATGGATGGCCGGTGAGAGGAGGCTTCAGGTCCAGAGTGAACCGCTTGATTGTTTCTTCCTGTTCCTTAGGGTAGGAGCGCCTGTCGCTGAATGCATGTCGGGGCATGTTCCGACTCGAATTTTATATGCTAGGACTGAGCTGGCCAGCGATCCATTACCTCACCCACGCTATACTTTATTTTTCATTTTCTCAAAATTTACAATAGTGCGAGCTTAAAACTAATTGTACATACATCGGGCATACATTTAGGCATATTTTTAACACAGTTATGTGTCCGTAAACACGATATTTTAGGTGTGGCGCGCAAAAAATAGGTCTCCGCAATATTTATACTTTCCCCCTCCATAGGGCTTCGCCCTGCCACGGGGCTTCGCTGCCCCACCCGCGCGCTCCGGGCGCGCCGGGTGGGGAGCGCAACATGTCTCAGAAAACGGTTCTATACAAACATGTTTTGTCTTCTACACGGTACATTTTTACACTTATTGATGTGATACCTATTTATTTACGTAGCCCTACGTGTTACCTATCTAGTACAACAAGTTTCTTACAAGAATATCAATAAACAACAGCTGTACGGCCCTATAAAGTTTACAAATTAAAAGGTCTTAAAAAACCTACTTATATTCACTTAATGTCTAACTATCATATACCGTTTTATAGAAGAAGTAAAAACACACAAAATGACATCATTATTATAACAATTATACCTATATCCTATTGACTATTCATAAAAAACTATTCCCAATATTTTCCTTAATTACGCTTAAACTACTAACGCGATTCATACAAAACTTCGATATATTATTCCTATAACTACCTACTATCTAATAAGACATAAAATAAATCAATCAAAACATAAAACATACTATTATCGAAAATTGTCAACTCAGGCAAAATCCTATAAGACGTGAGACAAGGACAACCTATTGTCTCCGTCCCTCCTATAGGTCGGAACTATCAGTATTCTGACTAGTTTCCCCGCGCCACCGCTTGGCGTCGTGGCGATCGTTTAGATAAAGTCTTATAAGATTATTGGAGAGAACGGGGCGGAATATCGCTCTGAACTATCAGTTTTACAATGGTTTACTATGGGCAGAGCTATCTATTGTTGCGATATCCGACTCATTCTAATAAGACAACAAGGGAATGATATTTTTAATGCGTATACAACCGATTCATGTGAAATTATAGATACATTTTTATACATTGCTCTCGTATTGTCGTAAGTTCATTTTCTCTCGCTTCGGTCGTCGCGTACATACTCCCGCCGTGCAGCGTCGGTCGACTCGTCGCTGCATCCATCTTCCGTGGGAGTGGCGGCCGATGCGAATATCACCAGTCGCTTGGTCGGTCTGCGTAGCACTCCTCCGGCTGTCTTCAGATCGACGACTCGTACTGTGCCGTCTCGCCCGGGAAAAGTGGCGATGACGA